AAAGAGTACAGAGAAGAGCAACAAAGATGATTAGGGGACTGGAGGCTAAAACATATAAGGAATGGTTGCTGGAATTGGGTATGTCTAGTTTAACGAAGAGAAGGACGAGGGGGGACATGATAGCAGTGTTCCAATATCTCAGGGGCTGCCCCAAAGAAGAGGGAGTCAAGCTATTCTCCAAGGCGCCTGAAGGCAGGACAAGAAGCAATGGATGGAAACTAATCAAGGAGAGAAGCAACCTAGAACTAAGGAGAAACTTCCTGACAGTTAGAACAATTAACCAATGGAACAACCTGCCTCCAAAAGCGGTGAATGCTCCAACACTGGAGGCTTTTAAGAAGAGACTGGACAGCCATTTGTCTGAAATGGTGTAGGGTTCCTGCATGAGCAGGGGGGTTGGACTCGATGACCTCCAAGGTCCCTTCCAACATTATTATTATTATTACTACTACTACTACTACTACTACTACTACTACTACTACTACTACTATAGAACTCAGTAGCAGGTTGCCTCCTGGGCAACTGTCCACCAAACAGGAGACATGAATCTAATCAGCAGGTGGTCCTAGCTCACAGTTATAAGGACTCTGTTTGCTTCCTTGGGACCAACAAGTTCAAACTGATCACAAAACCCTTTAGGATTTTATGAACCATCTCACTTCACTATGTCTATAACACCATGTGTTATAATGGGGAAAAATGTCCAAGCAAAGGAAATAAACTAGATGCAATTTGAAAGAACACTCTGAGACAGTTTTTCAGTAAGATCAGAGCTCAGGATTAAGTTTCCCTTAATAGTGTTTGTATCTATTTTATTGTATGTATACTATAAGCCACCCAGAGTTGGTTTGGAGTTGAGCAGCACCAAAATATGAAATCAAACAAACAAACATCTGAGGCCCAGGGCTCAAGAGAGAGAGACCATCCAAGTGAGCATTAGGCATTTAAAGGGAGTTGCCTCCGAGTTTCACAAAACGCATTCAATAATTGCCACTAATTAGTTTCCATACTAATTGTCCACTTGCACACAAAAAGCTCCACACGTTATGTCCTATTCACAAAAACCTTTTAAAATGTAACCAGAGAAATGCTCAAAGGAAAACATGAAAAAGAACCAAACCTACTAAGGGCCATATGCAAGAAATAAGAAGTTATTAAATTTGCTTGTTTCCATGATCAGATAAACAGCGATAGAGTCAGGTGTAGAAAGGAATTTAAACTCCTGGTGTTTAGCTTTAATATCCTACATTATTTGTAGAAGGGGAATAAAGAAATAAACAACTGATTTATTAAGATCATAAAAAATGCTTTTTTCAGTACTGTGATAGAAATTGGATTCTGAAGACCATGAATGTTGGCAGGACAATGCTATCTATGGTGCTGGAGAAGACTCCTGCGAGTCCCCTGGACTGCCAGGCGATCAAACCGGTCAGTCCTACAGGAGATCAACCCCGACTGCTCTTTAGAAGGCCAGATCCTGAAGTTGAAACTCAAGTATTTTGGCCCCCTAATGAGCAGGGAGGACTCACTGGAGAAGAACCTAATACTGGGAAAGATGGAGGGCAAGAGAAGGGGACGACAGAGAATGAGGTGGCTGAATGGAGTCACAGAAGCAGCAGGCGTGAGCTTAAATGGACTCCAGAAGATGGTAGAAGACAGGAAGGCCTGGAGGAACGTTGTCCATGGGGTCGCGATGGGTCGGACACGACTTCACAACTAACAACAACAATAATTCTTTTCAGCACTGAACTTCAATTCCACAGATATTTGAAACAATTCTTAAGTATTTAAAAACTTACCTGATTTTTTTTTTTTTACGCTCATCTAATTTTGTCTGCCAAAAGCTTTAGATCTCTTCTGTGAAGTATTGTCTTTGCCATCTACATTGCCCCAAGGGCATCTGGGGTGAATAGGGAAGGGCACATACATTTAAGCCATAACATCCAAACAAGCTGTTATTCAACATTATAAATTAAAAAGTGGAAATTGGCAGACTCACACTCTCGGACCTTTAGAATTATGGTGAGTCATGCTGGCTGTTGCAGTTAAACCACATCTGGTTGGGAGACCCATATACCCCATCCTTGTCCTGGATTAATAGCAAGCAGGATGATTAAAATGCTTGTGGAGAAGGAACAAGATTCCTAGCTAAGATAGGGTGCTGAGATCTAAAAATGTATGCCTTTTGCTTTTAGTCCTTACGTTACTGCTCCATTGGTTTAAGATTAATGCCAATATTTACCTCGATTCTTATCTGACACCATAACCCCTCTAAAGACTGGAACTCACATGAGACCTAAATTCTCCCTCGTACTGGGTTATCTTAAAAAATAAAGGAACAAATACTTCAGTGGTTCCCAACCTTTTCTATACCCCGCACCTCTAGAACGCTTCTGATATACTCTCGCACCCCTTACAAAAGTTCAAAACAAATTACGCATATACACTATACTTTTGAAACTTCTAAACCCAAGTTTTCATACCCCCTGGAATATTGTCTCGTACCCCCGGTTGGGAATTTTGCTTTAGATCAGGGGTGTCAAACTGCCGGGGGCCGGACGCATCATACGGAAGCTGCGCCCACCCCATTGCCGGCAATGGCAAAACCATCCCGATACATTGCGCAACGTCACGTGACGTCATGAGTTTGACATGTCTGCTTTAGATGTACATTCGGATGGCTGTTCCACCTGGTAAAGCTTGCCTTCATCCTGTTTCCGATGATGACTTAATCCAGACTATCTCACTACAAACAGTTGTACTATACTTCTCTACAATCAGATACAAATGACAAATGGGAATACAGATATGAACTAACCCAGGGGTAGGCAACCTTGGCTCTTTTATGACTCGTGGACTTCAACTCCCAGAATTCCTGAGCCAGCATGGCTCAGCTTGGAAACCTCTCCCTTTCCCCTCAGCATGGCTGCCTCAGGAATTCTGGGAGTTGAAGTCCATGAGTCACAAAAGA